AGGTGGATCACGAGGTCAAGAGATCAAGACCATCCTGGTCAACAAGGTGAAACCCCGTCTCTACTAAAAATACAAAAAATCAGCTGGGCATGGTGGCGCATGCCTGTAATCCCAGCTACTCAGGAGGCTGAGGCAGGAGAATTGCCTGAACCCAGGAGGCGGAGGTTACGGTGAGCCGAGATCGCGCCATTGCACTCCAGCCTGGGTAACAAGAGCGAAACTCCATCTCAAAATAAAAAAAAATAAAAAATAAATAAAAAATTAGCTGGGCTTGGTGGTGGATGCCTGTAATCCCAGCTACTCAGGAGGCTGATGCAGGAGAATTGCTCGAACCCGGGAGGCAGAGGTGGAAGTGAGCTGAGGTTGCGTTATTACACTTCAGCCTGGGCAACAAGAGAGAAACTGCGTCTCAAAAAAATAAATAAATAACTAAATAACCTATGTATACATGTGGTTATCTATGTTTAGGAAACTAGGAAAATCTTAAGAATGGCCCAGCGGGGTTTCTCTGTTGCTTTGGTTTGCTATAATTATCCTCATTTTTTCCGAAATCTCCAAGCAGGGTTTCTCAAATTTGGCACTATTGACATCTGGGGCACCGGGGAGATGCTGCCCTGGGCACCCGAGTATGCTGGGCGGCATATCTGACCTCTACCTACTAGTAGTCAGCAGCCCCCCACCAAGCTGTGACAACTGAAAATGTCCCAGACATTGTCAATGTCCCCTGGAGGACAAAACTGGCCTTGTTTTATGCAAAGAAAAATGTCCCCAAATCCTTCTGTGTAAAAAGGGGAATGTTTTACCCTCAGGCCAGATAAGCAAGACCAGCTGAGACCTACTGGCGTAAAGCATACTGCCTGTTCAGGTGGTGAGAACTCTAATGCTGGTATCACTACATAAGGAGAGATGCCATTTTTCACTAGATAACCATCTTCTGAAGCCATAGGAGAGGGTGAAAGAGTTATTATACTAACAATGAGAAAAGAAACACAAATAGTTGGATATGTCCAGATAAACAGCTGAGATGCAGGGGAAATCAAAGCAATGATCACAGAAGAGCATAGAATGCAGCCAGGGTGACTCCTAAGAGCACCACACAACACGGAATTGACCAGGAGGCCAAGACAAAAGCCCTGAGGGTGGGCTGTGGCGATCGCGTTTTGGGACGAGGCCTCAGAATGTAGAAACAGGCAATCCTACGCCCAGCTAACACCACACTGTGCTTTCCAGTCCTCAAGGCGCAATTCACAGATCTGAATGCAGGTCATCCTGCTGCCCTCGAGAGAGAGACAAAGTCCTGGTGGCTGGCCTGAGAGGCCTGGCTCGTTCCTCCAAAGAGAGTGTCAGCTTAGGACAAAATGGGCACAGGCCCTGATCGCTGGGGGTCGGGATGGTGGCTTCCAGAGGCCTGTCTATGTTTATAGCAGGGAACCAAGTAGCCCAGGAATCCCTCCAAGACCTCTGGGGACATCTTTCTTGCTAGGGAGCAGTGCTCTATGGTGCTCTAATCAAGCAGGTGAGGGTCTGATGCCTGCTGGGCAAAGTCTAACCCAGGGCCAGGCTATCTGATTTCAACCTGCTGGGGCGAGGGGGTGAGGCTGTTCTCAGTAACAATCCTAAACTTCATTTGATACATCTTTCTCCAGGGTTTAACCATCATCTGGGGTCTAGAGATAGACCCTAAGTATCTACCCCTAGACAACCACTAGGGTTGTTACTTTTTAACAGTTTTTGAGACAGGGTCTCACTTTGTTGCCCAGGCTGGAGTGCAGTGGTGTGATCATAATACACTGTAGCCTTGAACTGCTGGGCTCAAGTGGTCCTCCTGCCTCTCAACCTCCCAAGTAGCTGGGATCGCAAGTCCACACCACCACACCTGGCTAACTTTTTGACATTTTGTAGAGATGGGATCTCCCTGCATCGCCCAGGTAGGTCTTGAACTCCTAAACTCAAGGGATCCCTCTGCCTCAGCCTCCAAAGTGCTGGAATTACAGGTGTGAACCACACTGCCTGGCAGGGTCATTACTTTTTCCTTTCTAGGGGCAAAAGGTACCAGCTGGGTGTTACTGGGGACTCATTTCTCTTTGCTCCCACTGGGCCTCTCCAAACTGTGGGCAGAGAGCCCTGTTTGCCAGCTTGGCCCAAGCATTTGCTAAGATCATTGCTCATTCCTCATGGGAGTCCATCCACACAAATTCCACACCACCTCACCCTGCAGTGCACAGACCAATAGGAGTCAACAATCCAAGGCTTCCTGTCTTTTTTTTCCCCCCCAAGTTGGACTCTCCCTCTGTTACCCAGGCTGGAGTGCAGTGGTGCAATCTCAGCTCACTGTAACCTGTGCCTCCTGGGTTCAAGAGATTCTCCTGCCTCAGCCTCCTGAGTAGCTGGGGTTACAGACAAAATACAGAATTCTTGTATTGTTAGTACAGATGGAGTTTTGCCATGTTGCCCAGGCTGCTCTCAAACTCCTGGCTTCAAGTGATCCTCCCGCCTCGGCCTCCCAAAATGCTGAGATTACAGGTATGAGCCCCTGCACCCGGCCAAATCTGAGGCTTCTCGGATTCAAAATTGCAAACTGAATCTTACCTGTGCCCAGTTTTCTAGAGTGTGGACCCACACCTTTCACCAGATTCATGAGCAATGGGTCCTGGACTTTCCAAAAAACCCTTTATGTGTCTATATCAAATGCACTTAGGCTGGGATGCAGCATTCTACTTCTGGTAATTCATCCTATAAAACTAATCCCCGCTGTGAGCAAAGATATTCCCTGGCTATTCAATGTAGTAACGCTGTAGCAGACAATTCCGGGAAACAAGGGAAATACCTGTCAACTGACAACTGGTTAAATAAATTACGGTACAGGTCATGGAATGAAATACAATGTACCCATTAAGTAGATCTAAGTAGGCCAGGAAGGGTCCCTCACACCTGTAATCCCAGCACCATGGGAGGCCGAGGCGAGGAAGGCGGATCACTTGAGGCCAGGAATTTAAGACCAGCCTGGGCCACATGGAGAAACCCCGTTTCTACTAAAATTACAAAAATTAGCCAGGCATGGTGGTGAATGTCTGTAGTCACAGCTACTGGGGAGGCTGAGGCAGGAGAATCGCTTGAACCCAGATGGCGGAGGTCGCAGTGAGCCGAGATTGTGCCACTACACTCCAGTCTGGTGACACAGCTCAACTGCATCTCAAAAAAAAAAAAAAAAATCCAAGAAGTATGGAGTACGGTCTAGTGCAGTAGTCCTGGGGGACAGGGAAGGGATGGGGGAAGGAAAGAAGAGAAGGAAGAGAGGAGAGAGGCTAGAGAGGCAGGGAGGGAGGGAGGGAGGGAGGAGAGGAGGAAGGAAGGAAAAAAAAAAGGGGAGCGGGCATGCTGATTCTATTCCTCTGGGGACACAGGGTGATATCTTAAGAAATTTTTGTTTGTCACGACTAGGGGGGCGCTCCTGGCCTGGAGTGGGTGGAGGCCCGGGGCGCTGCTCAGCACCCTGCAGTGCCCAGGATGGCCCCACTACGGAGAACAATCCAGCCCTAGATGCCAACAGTACCGACAGCGGCGGAGAAACCCCGCTCCAGTGTGATCTCCAAGACACGGATAATGAAAAACACAGCACATAGGATTCCGCGGCGTGTGCTACCAGTGTACGTGTGTTTCTAAAGGAGAGGCACACACGTATTTCAGGAAAGGGACACACGGAGTCGATGACAGTCCCTGTCTCTGCGGAGAGGGACTGGCGGTCCGAGGGGCAGAGAGGGGAAACTGGCTTCTCCCTCCACCTTTTCAAGTCGGCACTTTGCCCCTCGAGAGGCTTCTGAACGGCACCGCTCTAAGCACAACTTTTCCCTGGCTCTGGGTTATGTGGCAAGAGTCCTGTGCGGACAGCCTCGGGACGCCTTGCTTCCCCTTCTGTCCCCGCACCCCGCCTTTACAGGGGAGAGGAGGAGGGAGAGGTCCGCGTCCCTGGGCAGCCCCTGGGTGCCTCTGCCCTCCCCGCAGGGACTCTGTCCCCGCTTCTGGAGCCCGCATGGCGACCAGGGCCTGGGCCGCCTCGTCGTCCCCCTCCGTCCCCCGCTCTGCCCACCCGGCGGGGTACAGGCGCCAATGTCCGCAGCTCCGTCCCCCCGGCCCCCTCCCGGGCCAGGTCGGGCCCGACCCCTCATCCGGACAGCCCGAGGCCCCGCCTGGGCCTGCGCTCACCTGGCTCGCCTTGTAGAACTGCTTCTTCAGCCCCGCCACCGACATGCTGCCGCCCGCCGCCGAGCCTACCGCCCGGACCGCGCCAGCGACAGGCTCCCGGGCGCCGCAGACCCTCCGCGCGCCTCAGCGGCCCCAGTCGGCGCCGCCTCCGCCACCCGCTCGCCAGCTCCGCGCCCGCCCAGGCGCCGCCTCAGCCGCTCGCGCGCCCGCGCGGCCAGGATATTACATGGCAACCGCACGCTTCCGGTGCCGGCCACCGCGCGCGCCCCTCCGGGTCCCGACTGCGCACGCGCGCCCCCTGCCGGCCGGAGAGCGCACGCGCACGTTCTTTACCGCGGGAGAGGCCGCCTCTGTCAGTGAGTTGAGCAGGGCGAGCCTAGAGGGGCCGTAGGAGGTGCAGCGCCCCCTGGAGTCCCGGAGGTAGCCCTAACAGGTTGGGAAAGGCGCTTAGTTTAAACTTGGCCAGGGAGGTTGGGAAGTAGAGGGGCCCCTGCTTACAATTCTCCAGATACCTGTTTGCTCATCTTAGGTAAATCCAGTTCTTCTAAGTGTTCAGGCTCCGTCCCCTCTTTCTTTCCTTTTTTTTGAGACGGAGTCCTGCTTTGTCTCCCAGGCTGAAGTGCAGCGGCGTGATCTCGGCTCACTGCAACCTCCGCCTCCCAGGTTCAAGCGATTCTCTTGCTTCAACCTCCCGAGTAGCTGGGACTACAGGCGTGTGCCACCACGCTTGGCTAATTTTTGCATTTTTAGTAGAGACGGGGTTTCGCCATACTGGCCAAGCTGGTCTCAGTATCCTGACCTCCACCCTCCTCAGCCTCCCAAAGTGCTGGGATCACTGCAATAAACCCCGGTGCCCGGCCACCCCTCCTCCCCTCTCTCTGTCGTGTGTTCATCCATTCACTTGCCCACGTGACACATCTAGACATCTAGGTCCATCTTCATGCCCTAACCATATTTCCTACCAGTTCTCCCCTCCCATTCTGACACGGCAGCCAGAACGATGCTTTTAGAATGCAATTCAGATCACAGCAGTGTCCTGCTTTAATTCCGCCTACCACCCTTAAAATACATTCCCAACTTCCTAACCCGTTCTACAAAGCTTGCATAATTTGGCCCCATCAACTAACTCTCTCTCTCTCCTCTCTCTCTGTCTCTCTCTCTCAAGTAGAGACAGGGTCTTGCTATGTTGCCGAGGCTGGTCTGAAACTCCTGGGCTCGAGCGATCCTCCCGTCTCAACCTCTTTTTTTTTTGGGGGGGACGGAGTTTCGCTCTTGTTACCCAGGCTGGAGTGCAATGGCGCGATCTCGGCTCACTGCAACCTCCACCTCCTGGGTTCAGGCAATTCTCCTGC